AAAAAAAAAAAAAAAAAAAAAATTAAGGAAAATAATAAATAAATAAATAAACGGGGGAGAGGGATGCCACCCTCTCTCCTGCCGCAACTCTCCACCTTCCTCTCCTCCCTCACCTTCCACCCTGACCCCGAGACCCACCGTACCTAGCTTTCTTTTGTTGATCTACCTGTACATTGCCTTTCCCCCAACCCCAATGCGCCATAGAATATGAGACCCTCCGGGTCAGGGTCTGGATCTCAGCCCTCTTCGACCACAGTCTCTCAGACCCCAGCCAACTATCAAATCCAGGAAGCTACATGAAGAATCAAGTACAAGTGCACAGGGCTGGGTGACCCCACGCTTAGTCTCAGGGAGAGGGAAGTTGGACCTCTCCCAAGAATCCGTGGGCCAACCCGTTGTCAGTTACAGGCTAGCACGAGTCTATCCACTGGAGCTCTGAAGAGAGGGGGCACGCTGGGCATGTAACTAGAATCCCGCACAGGAGGAGTCCACTGAGAACCCTGGGGGAATGACCTGGGTCAGCACCCCTCCCTACCCCGTGTCCCCCACTCACTGGAGCCCAGTGGTTGGGTCCTTTGTGAGGCAGGCTGAGGGGACACTGGATCCTGAGGGTCTGTGGTCACAGTAGGCGGGAAGTCTCAGAGGAAGGAGCCCTCCCTGGGAGCCAGACCCCCATGCCATGGCGAGCGTGGTGGTGAAGACGATCTGGCAGTCCAAGGAGATCCATGAGGCCGGGGACACCCCCACGGGGGTCGAGAGCTGCTCCCAGCTAGTCCCAGAGGCTCCCCGGGGGGTGAGCAGCCGGGCCAAGGGGATCTCGAAGAAAAAGAAGGCCGTGTCGTTCCACGGGTGGGTTTGTTGCACCCTGTCAGGGATGGTTCTAACGCCCAGCACTTCCTCCAACAGAGCAGGAGTCCGACTGTGGATGCTGGAGGAAGGGGAGGAGGGAAAGCCAGCAGGTGGGGGGCAGGAAAGAGGGCAGCGGTGAAGAAGACATCAAGTCTCAGGGAGGTAGAAAGGAAGAAGGCAATGGGGATGAAAGGAGGGAGGAAAAAGCCAGTGGGGAGGGAAGAAGGAGAAGGGAGGCTAGTGAATGAAGAAGAAAGTAGGTGGCCGGGGCAGAGAAGGGAGGATAAAGTAGGCAGCGGGGAAGGAGAAGAAAGTAGGTAGTGGTGGCTGGGCATGGTGGCTCACGCTTGTAATCCCAGCACTTTGGGAGGCTGAGGCAGGCGGATCATGAGTTCAGGAGTTCAAGACCACCCTGGCCAACATGGTGAAACCCTATCTCTACTAAAAATACAAAAATTAGCTGGGCATGGTGGCGCATGCCTATAACCCCAGCTACTCAGGAGGCTGAGGCAGGAGAATTGCTTGAACTGCGACCGGGAGCCGAGATCATGCAACTGCACTGCAACCTAGGCAATAGAGTCAGACTCTGTCTCAAAAAAAAAAAAAAAAGAAAAGAAAAGAAAGTAGGCAGCAGGGAAGGAGAATAAAGCAGGCAGTGAGGACAGAGAAGGGAGAAACTTGTATACGGTGAGAGTGGAGTCACAGGGCGTGAGGTATGGAGAAAGGAAGACAGGAGGGGCCAGACACCGTGGAGCTGCTTCTCGACCTTTCTGCCTGTTTCTCCTCTGCAGGGTGGAGCCCCAGATGTCCCACCAGCCCATGCACTGGTGCCTGAACCTCAAGCGGTCCTCGGCCTGCACCAATGTGTCACTGCTCAACCTCGCCGCCATGGAGCCCACCGACTCCACAGGGACAGACTCCACAGTGGAAGACCTCAGCGGCCAACTCACGCTGGCCGGGCCCCCTGCCTCCCCCAGCCTACCCTGGGATCCGGATGACGCAGACATCACGGAAATCCTGGTGAGGGCCCCCCACACCACCTGCTGGGGAAGACCGAGGTCCTCCACTCGGTGGTAGC